CCTGAGCTTATTATCCGTTATGTGGAAGGAAATAAAACTGCACTGTGTTCAAGCTAAATCCTGGCCAAATGCAATTGCTAACTTGATAAAATCGATTACTTCACGATATCACTTTGGTATTGATGTTGGTATTGAAGGGTAAGGTGACTGCACAGAGCATATTTCACAAGTATGAAAGCATTTATAACTTAAACTAATAATAAAATGAATACCTTTGTATCCACCATTCAACCTAAAAATAATGAATCATTCCATTATGTACAATCTTCCATCTCTTACCCTACCAAGGAGAACCCCTATTTTGGATTCTTTGTTTAACAGTCCCTTATTTTTAATTTATAGTTATTCCACACATTTCTGCAACTTTGAATTATACTGCTTGACTTTACTAGTTTTAAAATCTTATATAAATTATGCTACGCTTGATGTACTTTTCAGCCATTTGTTTTCTCCTCAGCAATCTGACACATGCGAATTTGGACATACGTAGCTAGGGTTTACTTTCACAGCTTTATGGCACTGACTGCATGAATGCACCACTCTCAGCCATTCCACCCTTGGTGGGTATGTGTGGTGGATATGTGGGTTGTTTCGAGTTTTAGGCTAACACAAAACACTATCAACACTCCACAGGCTTCCTGGTTACCCATGGGACACAGCCTTTTGGAAAGTGCTTCCCAACTTCTCTGACACCACGGAGTATACAGAAAATTTACGTGGCACATTGGAGGCAACTAAATGATATATAAAGTCCCAGATGCAGCTATGGGCCCACAGACTCTGGCCATCCCAAGGGTTAAGGGGACCAGAGAGATGAAGCACATCCACGCCCCCCAGCATGATGCAAAGATTTCGAGTAGAACATCTGGGACTCCAGGGAAGAGGCATGTCAACCTAACTAGATAAGGCCAACTGTTCCCAGAGGGGTCAAAACAACGTGCACTATCCTTGGCCCTGTGCTGAGGTTCCCACTGCTCCTCAACCTCATCAACCTAGATATTGTGAGCCTTTTTCATTTTTGTGAAAAAAGGTTTTTCCTAAGCTGGGCATGGTGGTGCACTCCTGTAATCCCAGAGACTGGGGAGGCTGAGGCAAAAGGATCCCAAATATAAGGCCTCTGCAATTTAATGAGATCTGTCTCAAAATTTAAAACAATAGTTTTTTCCTGGTCTTAATTCATATTTTATTTCTTACAAGAATGGGATCTTTTCTTATTGATTGATCACTCCTAGTTCCTTTTCTGTGAAATGCCTGTGCATTTCTTTTGCCCATTTTTAACTGATTTATTTAATCTTTTTAAATATATTTTTTCTTGCCATCTTTAATATATTTTGGACATTAATCATTTGTCAGTTTTATGTATTACAAACTCTTCTCCCCAATTAAGATTATTTGTCAGCTTTTCATTTTCATTATTTGATGAAGAAAATCTTTTGTTATCAATCTCTTCCTATATGTTTAGAGCTTTTCTGGGTCTTCCTTAGGAAATTCTTCTGTGTCATTTGTTACTGATTCCTAGCTTACAATACTGAATTCACAGAACATATTTTAGGAGTCAAGATACTTTGAAATATGTTGAATATTACTTTCTAACCTAGCACGAGGTTATTTTTATACATGCCCAATACTTACTCCAGAATTATATGAATTTTCCAGTTGTCAGGTGGAGAGTTCTATAATGAATGTCCTGGAAATCACTGATAGCAAACAAACAATGGTGGGGGCAGGAGATGGGTGACAGATCCAGCCCTGGCCATCTGCTAATATATTGTCTGCATCTGCTTTCGTTCTACAAAGCAGAGTTAAGTGGTTGTGACAGAGACCGTATGGTCTCACAAAACTGAAACGATGTACTAGCTGGCCCTTTATAGAAAAAGATCACCAACTTCTACACTAGATTGAGTTCAAAAACCATTTCCCTTCTACTTTTTGTCTGCTCAATATCAGAGCTGTTTTTAAATTTTCTTTGATGATGACACATTTGGCAATACCCATTAATCTCTGCTGTTATTTTGTGCAAGCTAATTTATCAGGTGCAAAGAAGTTACAAATGGTCCCATTTTCCTGGTGCATGCTTTCTTCTATCATTAATGCAGTGGCCCTCTCGTCCCGTAACTGTTTTTGAAATCTGTTTGAATGCTGTTGTTACAGTACCAGCTTCTTCTCATTAGCTTATCCCCACCCCACCCCCAAACACCATTTTCATGCCTTACATTTTGGATGTCTCTTGAAAATAACACACAGCCTGACTTAATTTTTCCACAGACTCTTGACAATCTGTCTTTTACTCCAGATGTTTCATCCACTTTTAGTAGTGATGGGTATGTTTGGCTTAATTCCCACCACCTTAGATAATTATCTCCTTCTCTATTTGTCTCTTTTCCCTCCTTTCTGTTTTGCGTTCTTCTTTTTGGTGAGGAGGGGTACCATGGATTGAGCCCAGAGGCACTTAACCACTGAACCACATCCCCAGTCCTTTATTTTAGAGACAGGGTCTTGCTAAGTTTCTTAGGGCCTCACCAAATTGCTGAGGCTGGCTTTGAACATGTCATCCTCCTGCCTCAGCCTCCCAAGCCACTAGGATTACAGGTGTGCATCACCACACCCAGCTTTTGCACTCTTTTGTATTAAGTTTTAACTCCATTTAAAAATTATTATTGAAAGAGCTGAAGTTTTAACCCTTTCATTTCCCCAACATTATACCATACATTTTAGGCTCAGTAAAGTTGAAAAATTCATCAGTGTCTCTACCCTCTTTCAGAACAATGTAAGAACATCTGAATTCTTATCAGATTTAAACATTATTCAGTATTTTAGTTTCACTTATTTGTTTGCCACTTATTTTTATTGTGTTTGTAATGGAGAAATACATTATCTGTTTTCAAAATAGTGCTTGAAAATACAAGGAGTACAGATACTACATAACAAAGCAAACCCCAGGCATGAGACTCTACATATATCACATGAAAAAATAGTCTGATATTCAGGTAATAAAAACTAGAATTAAAAAGTCCCAAGTTTCCAGCTTGGTAAAACAGGTATGGCTACATGAAACACTTAATAAACTAATTTTTTTGCCAATGTGTAAACAAAATGACAAGACTAAACTTGTGCCTGGAGATTTCAACCAAACACCATAGCTATTCAAAATACAGATACTGTGCACGTTTCACCTGATTTATTATTGTTGTGGAAGGGTAAGGTGACTGCACAGGGCGAAGACGTGAGACACAGAAATATTGTATACCAGATATCAGAAAGTCTCAATTACTGCATAGCCTAAAAGGAAAAAGACTATCTTCCAACTTTGGAAAATTTATCTAGAAGGACAGGGAAAGAGTCTAAACATTGCAGTTTAACATGAAAAAAGAAAAAGAATGCACACATGGGAAAAGGGAACACAGGTGGGAGAGGGGAAGACAGAACCAGGCTACTTGGAAAATCTGTTAAGTCTTCTGGGCTTTCATTCATCTACATCCATTATCCCTCGTGGTTCCTGGACATGGGTATTCAGCTGCTTATGCTCTATTATGAGGGATCCTTTTTAAAGAACAGTATTTCTAATCTTGGATAAAAACGAAAGAGTAGAAAGCTAACTAGCTATCAAATGCTTTCTAGAAATTATTTTTATATGACTACATGAAAAATTCACTGATGATTTTTGGTAAGTCTTTAAAAAATAACAATTGGTTAMAGATTCTTGCAAAAATGTCTCTTTTTTTTTGCCTATGGAAAAGACAAAGATTGGGAATTAGCTTTCCTATAAAGCAGTATTCTATGGAATTTGTAAAACTTCTCAGACACAGAGATCAAATATTTAGTGAAGTTTTACTGAAATATTAGCCATGGAATCAATTTGGTGTTTTGTGCCATGTGGCACAAGATTGTTGGTTTCACATCATGGTTTCGAAAATACTAGATTTCCATGTTTTTTAATGAAACAACATACAAGCATACCCTGTGCACACAGCAAAGAGAAGAGGGTAGAGGCCATAAGCCTATTTTAGGACAAATGATTGAGGACAGGAGAATATGGAGCTTTGCTAGCTCAAGAAAATGTCTGATTGCTGATCATGTGCTCTCTAATATCATCCTACAGGTATCATTTCTAGGTCATGTCCCATCAAAACCAAACACTTAGTAATTACTGTTTTGATGTCAAATATATACCCAAGAGTTGACATTTCATTTTAAAGGGTTTGCAGTTACCTCACAGGGACTGAGTTACATGTACTTTTATGCTTTCTCTGAAGTATATTACACCACTGCACAATGGTATCCAATTTTAAGATCAGTACTGAAGAAACGTCTTCAAGGAAAAAAAAAAAAAACTAAAATTCACCAAGCTGAAAAAGCGAAAATTAGTTATGGTTTCTAACCTTAAAAAAAGTACATAAAGTGCATTATTAATATTAGGAATTCTGATATTAGTTTGTATTGCAAATTTCCCCAAAAAATGCATCAAACATAAATTCAGTCCAGATGTCAGTCATGGGTACAAATATAGTTGTTTTTTTCTTTTCTATATTTTTCTCATCTTTTAAGAGTAGTAGTCTCTTTGAAATAGTTAATGTACTGGAACTAACACAAATAATCTGAGGCATTAATAACGGCACTTCTAGCTTCACATACTAATCTGGACTTCTGATCAAGATTAAGTCAGTAAAGGAAGTTACCAAGTGAACATTAATCTTTTGAGTCATATCTAGTCTGGTACCCTTGTTCTCCTTCTTTAGCATTTGAAGACAACAGGTTGAGTTGGCAGATATTGTTTATGGGCCCTTGTGGTTGTCTTTATCCATTTCCATTCAGTATGTTTTACTGAATTCTTGATAACAGGAATAGGATCTGGAGAGAGAACAGGGATACCGAGTATATCTGAGCCAGATGTTTCCTGAGAGGCCAACAGAGAAGTTGCTGTCTGTTTCTAATTGAGCTGTACTTATCTGGTTGTTGCCCTTCTGTTCTGGTTTTCTGTCTTTATGAGGTGAGAATGTCCTCTACATTCCTACTATAGGATTAGGTATATTAGTTGCTGCATTTCCTGAAGGTCTAGGTGGATGATTTACCAAATGTGTTGAAGAAACAACTCTGGTGACTGTGGGCTTTGGTGGTGGAGAAATGGTAGGCTGTGAGGGAGTCTGAGGAATGCTTTCACTCAATGTAACCCCTGAGCTTTCACTGGGATTCAATTGTTGCAAGGAAACTTCAGGAGCCTGTATGTTGGTCACAGATGCTGCCATCACAGCCAGAGCAGGACTGCTTCTTCCCTGAGGGCTGCCAGTCAATGGGCCAGTCTTTGTGGCACCCATAGGTAAAGGCACAGACATGCTGTTTTCACTATCTACAGTCAAGTGGAGGCTGCTGTCATTCACAGCTGACAACATTATACCTTCTGCAGAATGTGTTTTCTTTTTCTGAAGAACATGATTAGGGAGTAGTTGATGAAGCTCCTTTCTTCTTAAATGCATTGCAGCAATTTTCATATCCATCTCAAACATCTTACTATTTATTGCTTGCCTATAAACTGTATCTGTGAAAGACTGAATATCATAGGTGAGATCAATACTGAGAGTTTCAGAATTTTCTGGCTTTTTTAACACTAACCCAATCACCCACATTGTACGAAATTCTTCCTTGTCAGGATTTTCTTTGGGTGCTGGAAATGACTGGGGATTCACGTGTGCCAGCGTAATAAATTCATTCTTCTCCAAGCTCCCAACCAGAATTCGGATCTTTGATTCCACCAAGCCCACCCATTCTAGATGTTGTTTTTCTGTTGGTGCACTTGCCAGAAGTACAATATAATGTTTGTACTTTTGAAAGAAGCTTGGAGCTTCAAAAAGTTTGGACCACTCTGCCTTGTTCAGCAAAATTTCATGTGTGATAGCAAGCCCTTGCTTAAACTCCTCAATCATGACCATCCTGGTTGAAACTGAAACATTGTATGTGGAGTTCTGCTGTGGGTATGCTGGTGTGATTATAGGCATAAGATGGTACCTATCACTGGGATTTACTCTTGGGTCCCACACAGGTAAATTAAGATTTCGTTCTTCAGGCTCTTTTAATAACACTGGATTTGGCCATTCCCATTCAGAAAACACCAAGAAAAATTTACGGACAAGAGTTGATGCTATTGCATTTGGATAAAGCTGGCAGGTTCTTGCTACTAGCATAGCCCAGGAAACACCTCCAAGGAAACCTAATATATTGGAATAGATATTGTGGCATTTGGCCCACAATTTGATGGCTCTCAGAGTTAGCCTGAAGTTGTCAATGTTTGGTACTAGATGCAAAATTTCATCAGTTACCCGGCAGCCGTTTAGGCTTCTTATGCATCTAATATCTAAATTTTTAAGCAGACTGTCATCTCTTAAGTCCAAATCTTCTGGAATAGTCTGCAATGCTAATCTTGCAAACAAAATATCTATCTCTATCCCATCAAAACACAGTTTGATCACTGGCACAAATGCCTCCTCAACGGCCCTTAAATCTTTGACTTCTTCCTGTAGTTTCAATTTATCGTAAAATGAGGTGAAAAAGTCGCTGCGGTCGACATGTCTCGGCGCGACGCACAGCGCGTCGATATCGGCACCCTTCGTGTGCACTCCCAGTCTGTAAGAGCCGAACGTGAAAATTTTCCCCCCGACACTCTCAGTCACAGCTTGTGGAAGACTCTTGCTTTCACTGATTTCGCGTATCCACTCCTTCACCAAGTTGTTTAGTTTTTCCAAAATTAGAATCCTGCGCTGCAGCTCCTCTTCCTCCTCGAACACCCCGAAGGGCTTCAGGGTCTCCACCAGCTTCTGCGTGAGCTCGTGGTCCATGTCCCTGGGGGCGGCCAGGCTGATCGCCGAGGAGATTCCGCAGGGTTGCGGCGGCGCCAGCGGCGCTCCCGGGCCGGCCGCGGGAAACGGCATCGCGCCTAGCGCCGGCGCCGCCCAGGCACCTGGCCCGCCACCGCGCCCTGGGCGGCCGCCGCCCGGCTCATGATCCGCTAGGCGGGAGGGGCGGGATCCACTGCCCCGCCGCCGCTCGGCTCCGCCGCCTCAAGCGCTCCCCCGCCTTCCCCCCGGGGCCAACATGGCGCCGGGCCCTCGGAGGCGGCGTTCCAGGCGGGCCGCGCACGCGCGCGCCTGCGCACCGGCCGCCACGGCCTCGCGAGAGTCGGAGGTCTCGGCCTGGCCGCGGGGCCTATGTCGCTGTGAGCCGAGGCACGCGGCTGTGCCGCTCCTCCCTCCTGGAACTTCCTCTGACATTCGCCCTAGCGCGCGTCCCCAGAACTCCTTTCGCGGGCCCGTACCGCGGCGGCCACGTCGCCTCCGCCGGAGCCGCGCCGACCCGCGGTGTTTCCCACCAGTGCACGCTGCCCTGCCTCCCGCCTCCCCAGGCCGCAGTCCCCGGCCACAGGCCACAAATAACCGGGCCGAGCGCCGTGCAACCCGCCGCCGAGGTTTGACTCACTCTTGCATCTCCTGACCTCCTCGTTCTCAGGCCTGTCCCACCATTCTCCTGCTTCTTTTCCTTAAAACACATGGTACACCTCATCCTGTCTCCCAGTTCTCTCCTCTCCGCAGACGCTTAATCTTGTTCTTTTTCAAGTCATCTCTGCTTTTGGAGTAACTGTGTTTCTGCATGATTTGTATGTACCATTTATTTCTTTAAATAATCATACTTATTATTTAGCACAGCATAACCAATGACTCCTAATTCTAACGCTCTCGAGAACCCCGTTCTATAGTTCGTGGTTTTCCACTGGCTCAGAGAGCACTGCTTGTCATTTTGCACGTGAACTCATTTCTGGTGAGGTCTGGGATGCCTGTGTGGAGGAAGCGTCCTCCCGAAGAGGATCTGCGTGGTTTCCACCTGATGCCCTTGTGCCACCACATTGCAGACACTGTCATCTACTTTCCCATCCAGGGATTGTCCAGACCATGGAAGTGCAAGTTGAACCCCAAATACATGGTGGGACACAGTGGTTTTCAATTCTAAGGCAGAGTCTGCCCTATCCAGAGCCCAGGTTAAGAATGACAATTGTCATTTCTTACCAGGAAGAAGATCCTTCCGATTCCATCTTTTCTCTCAGCACCCTTCAATTATTCACCTCTCTCAGGGGTGGAGGCGGTATCAGTTCCAACTCCCAACCTTTTACAGCCTCAAGGGCTTTAGGTCTTTTCCTGGGCAGCTATTAAGCTTGAAGTTTCTTGGTTGCCAAGACTGACAGATGCCTCAAGGGCGATAATAGTTTGAGAATCAGCTAAAAGTCTAAGTTTTCAGGTCCCTCTTTTTTTCACCCCTACACTTTCCTTTGTTTTCTTGGGTCCTCACCTATTTATGCATTTAAAACACATTATTACTTAATTCTAGTTATTCATCATAATAGTTTTAAATATTGCAAACTTTTTCTTCCAGGATATCACCTATTTTTTTCATTTTATCTATATAGTGTTTTTCAGTTTGTTTGATATTTACATCAGTTTATATTTGATATAATAAAATCTACCTACTTTTTCTTCTTTTTAAAAAATAGTTGTTAATGGACCTTTATTTTATTTATTCATATTAGGTGCTGAGAATCGAACCCAGTGCCTCACACATGCTAGGCAAGTGCATTTCCGCTGAGCTACAACCCCAGCCCCTACTTTTGTCTTCTTATAGCATGCACTTTTTAAGCCTTATTTTTGAAATCTCTTTTTCTACATAATTTTACCTTTGACATCTGGGTTTTTAATGTATTTGGAGTAAGGATCTAATTTTTATTTTTCTCCATATGGCTGAAAACAATTATCCCAACACCATTTCATAAAATCCTGTCCCCAGGATTTATTTTGGTTTCTATATCACAACACATTCCCTGGGTCATTTGCTTTTGCCCTCTCTATTCCGTTCCTCTGGTCTACTTGTCTGTTCCCTCCCCTAAAACTACATAATTCCAGTTACCATGGCTTCATAGTGCATCTCAATGTGGAAAAGATCAGTCCTTCCCACTTTGGCTTTTCCTGCAAGGTGTTTATGTCTATTCTTTCACAGAGATGTACACTCTGACCAAAGACAGCCCAGCAAAGATGGACTCGGGCAGCTTAATATACTGATTCCACTCTATCTGTATACATCTGAAACCTCTAGAGATATTTCTGCCACTTTTAACTTTCAAACAACAAAAAAAGGTATTTGGTTATCATTTTCTATGTTAATATATAGTATCTGAAACTATGAGATGCTACTCAATGTGATTTAAACACATCCTGTAAAACAACCAACATTATAGGTCACATTTGGAAACCAGTAGATATTAACATGGTTTAAATGTTAGTAATAACAAAGCTAAGTATTAGTACTTCTTGGAAATACTTCAACTGATGACAGGACAAAATGAGGTCTCTATTTCCATTTAACCAAATTCAAAATTTGCTCTTATGTTTGCCTGTTTCCAGATGGCTTTAAAGAGGCCAATTCATCTTACTAAAATTTGGTGCAATACAAAAAGGTTAGAAGAACAGGTCATTTTGTTGCAGTTGCAAGACAAATACTGACTAGTGAAATTTTAAAAATATACTTCTAGAATTTTTAAGTCATTTTCAGTAAAACAGTAAAGAGGATTTAAAATAGGAATTAAAAGTCATTTAGTTGGGCTGGATTGTGGCTCAGTGATAGAGCGCTTCCTGGCATGTGTGAGGTTCAATTCTCAGCACCACATATAAATAAATTAATTAAATAAAGGTCCATCAACAACTAAAAAATATATATTTTTAAAAAGAGTCACTTGGTTTATAAAATCATTAGATATTCATGACAGCCATGAATGTGTACCCACATTTTGAGTATCTCAATTTAGAGTCAAGTGCTGAGAAAAATCAAGAATTTTCAACTTGGGACCACAAAATTTGAGGGTTGAAGAATAACTGGTATTTTTCTCCCCCTTACCTACACACACCCATGTCCTCAGCCTGATAACAGAAGAAGCATTCCTTCCAGTCCTGTGCTCAAACCCCCAGGAAGGGCCTGGACCGCCCTCCCCCAATGCAGACCACTCAGATACACTCTTCCTGGCTAAAATTCTCCCCTGGGTGAAAGCTGTCAGATCAAAATGAAGTCACTTGGGTCAAAACCTAAAATAATAAATAGAGCTGTGGCATCATGAAGGAGGGGATCTCATGCACACACATCTGATATCAAGAATTATCACAGGAGACTACCAGAACCTCAGCCTTGCACAAAGGCCACCGCCACCCGACACAGAAACACTTCTACAACAACATCTGCCCAGCAACTGCCTGTCCAGCCTTGGACTGGTGCCATCCTTGTTACTGATCCTTATAGCCAAAGGTAATTATTTCTGAACATCTTAGGTAAACTTTAAAACCCATTTTATGTTTAAAAACCCTTTTCTTTCTTTGCCTTCTTGGATAGCAGGTAATTTAATATAGCACATGTATTCCCATCATGATGCTAATTTCTGATTAAATTCATTATCAAGAATTTTTGAGCTGGGCACTATAATCCCAACAACTCGGGAGGCCGAGGCAGGAGGATTGTGAGTTCAAAGCCAGCTTCAGCAAAAGCGAGGCAGTAAGCAACTCAGTGAGATGCTGTCTTGAAATAAAATTTAAAAACAGGGTTGGGGATGCAGCTTATTGGTCAAGTGCCCCTGAGTTCAATTCGCAGTACAAAAAAAAAAAAAGAAATTCTGTGTTATTTAGGTGGCAACTATAATGTCCACCTTGGCCACTCCTTTGCCAATCTGTCTTATGTTGTATCTTTTAAACATCTTACACCAGTGATGACATTCCTGTGCTCTCAGTGTCAACACTAAGTCTCTCCAACAGTGGCTCCTTATAGAATGATGCCAGATATCTCTGCTTCCCCAGGCTCTGGGGGTAGGAGGTTCTGCCCACCAGGCCCCAGTGGGGACCACCCAGCTCCCAAGGGACCTTCCAACACAGTGCTTCTATGATGAAACAAGGACATGGATTTTTTTTAATCTACGCAGAGATGGAAGGAGAACACTGACTGTGAACAACCAACTAAATAAATTTTCTCTGAATTGGAAATGCCCCAAACTGTCTTTCAAAGTCAATTGCTTTTCTAATCTTATATTGGTGGGAAAAAGTGTTGGTTGTTTTGTCTGGCAAAACCACATGAAATAAATATTTTCCCCAGTGATCCTATCATTGGGAATCTGCAGAGAGGCAGCTGCCCCCAGATGAAAAGAGGCGTGACAATGCAGATGGCCGCCTATGTCTGAAGGTAAGAGCTATTGAAAAGTCATATTTGAAGCAGAAGGAAAAAACTTTCAAAAGAAAATGACCACCAGGATGCTGGAGGGCTCTCCAGGACATAATTCATGGGACATAGATGGCATCATGTGCGAAATACTGGCTGTCCCCAGGGGAGGGGAAATCACTGTCCGTGAATGACAAGGTGGCATGACAAAACAACTGAGCTGGGTACTCAGTGACAACACCTCTGCCACCTCTGCCACCACCTGCCCACTCGAACTCTGAGGAGCATGTTCCCCCCTGGCTGGGTGTGCTCCAAGGCAGTAGTCCACTGCATGACACCCTTCCCCTGTCCCTGCCAGGAACACTGGTCCCATTCTGGGGTCTTGTGCGTGTGGAAGCTGTGACCTACGAAGGGGCTTTCTCTCGGAGCACTAACCCTCCCGCAGACTGAGCCAGACTGTACAGAAGCCACAGAGGACATTGATGGCAGTGTTTGGGTCGAAAGTCCATGGCTGCTTTCGTGGCCCCTGGCCTCTGCTTAGCCTACAGAGGTAACCTCAAATCTCGGTGGCCTTAAAAACTCTCTATGCTTGCCTCGTTATGACGAAGACACTCAAAGCAAAGGAGGCCCTTCCCCAGCAAGAAACCAATGCCCGGCCTCTGAAGGCCATGCAGGAAGGCGCACAGGCAGAGCAGCTCCACACATCCTTCAGAGCCAGGCTTCAGGGACCCCAAACTCTCAGCAGCCTGAGAGAGACGAGTGAGGCCATTGCAGGGGCACACAGCC